ATAATTTTTTTATAAAATTGAAAAGATAAAGATGTTTAATAAAAGGGTAAAAATTTTATTTTAACCCCAGAACTTCATATAAAATTCTAATTATGGATTTTTTTTGTAAATCTAAAATAGTTTGAGGATAAATTTACAATTTAATATTCGTAGAATTTTTTTATTCAACGACAGAAGAAAGATATTTTTGAGGAAAAAAAATTTAAGGACATTTTAGTCCAAAATTCCGGGAATGTAACAATACAAAAGGAAAGGAAAATCACATTCCCAATAATAAACCTCCAAAATACTACTATTGGAAATAATTTATTACCGAGAGTTAGGAATCTTTGCACTCAAAACCGGAGAATCACATTCCATTTATCTGGTAATCTCACATTACCTGATCCAAATGCCCCCTTAGGTTGTTGGTCAAGCAAGGTGGGACCCACCTGCCTTTTCCCAATTTTTTTCAGCATTTCTTGTGGACGGAGGGAGAGTGGGGTTTATGTAGATGTGTAGGCAATTGTATGGACCAAATTGAAACAAAGATTTAGGGTACTATTTTTGTTGTTGAAATTTTGCTTATTTGTATATGATGTGATGAGCATCTAATTAGTGCCATTGACATTGTTTTTTAGGAAGGCATATGGAGTTGGGTTAACAATAAAAACAAGTCTTATAATAGCAAAATGGAGATTAAATTATATGATAATATTTTTTTCTGTATTTTATATAAATAGATAGGATAAATTACATCATTACTCACCGAACTATACTCTCTCTCCTATTTTTACCCATCGTACTTTCAATTTTTTTAACGTACTCATTGAACTTTCAAATTACTCATGTTTTGCTCACTTTGAATTATTTTATTATTATTTTCATATGACGTGGTATTTTTTATTATTATTTAATATAAAATAATTTAAAATATAAAATAAAAATAGAAGGTGGTCGGACGTCGGTTGTTGACGACTGTCGTATATGGTGGTAGTTCGATCCAAAATTTCATGGGTCACTTCGCCTTGACATCGTGAGCCCGAATCCGACCTCCAATTTTATCGGAACTTGCTCCGAAGTCCAAGAATTGTATATTGAAAGTTAGGAAGTCGAAACGTTTCAATCAAGATTCATGAGTTTTGAGACATTTTCCAGTGAAACAACCACTAGATTCGAACTCATGGGGTCGAGACGAACCGACCCATGAAATTTGAGACCGAATGATCATCATCTACGGTGAAAATCGACTGTGACATCCGATCACCTTATGTTTTTAATTTATATTTTCAATTATTTTATATTAAATAATAATAAAAATGTCACGTCATACATAAATAATAATAAAAGAATTCAGAGAGAGCATAACAAGAATAATTTGAAAGTTCAGTGAGTAAATTAAAAAATTGAAATTACAATCAATAAAATAGGAAAGAGAGTATAATTCAATAAAAAATATAGTAATTTACCCCAATAGATATTAACTCAGAAAACAACTAATCTATCATCGATTGAATTATCATATTAAAATTTTTATATTAATAGTTATTCATAATTATTTTATATAAATCATCTTTAAATTATGATAAAATAAATTTATTAACGTATTATCATCGTTATTATTTGAATTTAAATTAATTTGGAAATATTGTGAAGCGAAAAGTGCCTACATAAAATGTAACGCACAAATAACATACTAATACTTTGATAATAACACATACATAGGATTGTAAACGAACCAAACGTTCAACGAACCGTTCGTGAACTATTCGATGAGAAGTTCGTTTATATTCGTTTATTTATTAAATGAACGAACATAAACAAGATTTTGTGTTCGTTTAATTAAACGAAAGAACATAAACAAGATTTTGTGTTCGTTTAATTAAATGAACGAACATGAACAAATGACTCGTTCATTCATTTATGTTCGTGAATGTTAGATAATATGTTCGTTCATTTATGTTTGTTCGTTTATATTCGTTTATGTACGTTTATTTATGTTTAGCACAATCTCTCTATATCCATTTAAAATATTAAAGCCCAATAAGTTTTAATCAAATACCCATAAATATGTTAAAATTTAATTAATTTTAAATACAAATAAAAAAAGCTCAAAACAATTAAATAAAATATAATCCTAAAATTGTTAGGAAAGAAAAAAATATATTTTCATTTATGTTCATTTATTGTGTTCGTTTACGTTTGTTCATTTGTGTTCGTTTACCTTCATTGTTTGTGTTCATTAATTGTATCAACCATATGTTTCTTGGCACGATTTTCAGCCTTCTTTTATAGGTCGTTTAACCGCTTTTTTCATTTAATTTCTCAAGATTAGATTTGACGTCGTTTCGACTTATTAAGATTGTGTTTATTTGTTATTTTGCCAAGGATATATGCTTTAAACACTTTGAATGGATTTAGATACGTAATTTGCATCCAAATATATTTTTCTCATAATGCTCGACTTTGAATTGTAATTATCGACGATCTTTTGATTGTTTGATCCCTCATTGGGTTCATTTGCTGTATTTAATCGTAATTTTTTGTTGTATTTTTTTCTATTTTCTCCTCCTCCTCCGTATTCATATGTCCTAAAACTACCGTTCTCATTTTAAATTGGTTCTAAAATTTTTAAATATTTCAATTTATCCCAAATTATGACTCCTTTTAAATTAGTCATTGAACTTTTGAACATTCTAATTTCATCCCTAAACTATGAAATTCTTTCTAAATTAGTCCCCAAACTTTTGAATATTCCAAATTCATCCTCAAATTCATCCAAATATGTAATTAGTTTCAACCATAGTTTAACTTAAATTTTGTTTTTTTTCAAACATAATAATATAACTTGTCCTAACGATTTTATTAACAAGGGATGCGATCAGTATATACGTATAATTTACAACTAAATTAGAATGTTTAAAAAGTTTGGAGGACTAATTTAGAATGAAGATCATAATTTGGGAATGAAATTGAAATGTTGAAAAGTTTAAGAACCTATTTAAAATGATAGTCAAAATTTAGGGATCAATTTAAAATGAGAGTCATACAACATATGACGCAATTAACTCTATTACGAATGATTAAAATCAGAAATCTGGCCGTAATTACTGAGGTTGGCAAAATTTTGTTTGGGGTACTCAAGTTCCAACTTCCAACATGTTAGTTTGAACATAAGGCAAAGCCCTAACTTTCTAAGCACAGCTCCGTCCTGAATATAAAGATTAGCAATACAATCTGATTTAATAAATTTCGTAATTATTGTTTGAATTATGACCGAAATGTTTAAATCTAAGTACACGACTAAGGCTTGCCAAATCATAGTACAGGGACTAAATCCATAATATTTACATAGTATACGGAGTAAAAGAAGAAATTGACCTAAAAGATTATGACCGACAAATACTTTTGTAGGCGTGTGTGTGAATTAGGACAACACATAGTTGTCCCAAACATGTTTTTTAAATGCTTCTATTTGTCTAAAGGAAGAAACTTTTAAGAGTTTTCATGGGAAAATGACCATTCCAAATATTAGGTTTTGTCCCAATGCTCTTGCTTAGCTCCCAATCACATATAATTTTAAAAGTACTTTTCTAATATTTTTTTATTGATATAATCATATATAGTTTTAATATTTATACATTAGTTAATCTAATTTAATTTTATAAAATTTAAATAAATTTAATCCCCACATCTTAATTACAACAACTCAATTTCTTTTTTCTTGTTTTAATTTTCTTTAGTCTTTCCCTCTTACCAAACACAAATTAAGAGACCAATTCTACATGTAAATGGCCCATAGAAAACTTGGCATTTATGGGCCATATAATAGAAATGGACATTTAGGGGCTTCAATCCCATGCAATAGAAATGTATCTTTGGGGGTATAACTGTCGTCTTATCCATTAAAGAAAACCCGTCATCGTCTCTTGTTACGTCTACAACCAATAAGGTTCCACCACGCGTCCAATTATCATTGGTCCATTTGTTCCCCTTTATAACCACCATTTCGTAACGGTATTTTCTTCCCCCCAAATTTCCCGCTTCACAAATGACAAAACAACATAAAGAAATCTAAGAAAATGAGAGATTAACAGAAGAAACTAAAATAAAAAAGAAAAAGAAAAGAAATAAAAATCAAAGAATTATTGGAGCATTCATCTGAGGAAGATAATGGGCGCAGAGGCAGTTGCTGCTACAGGAGGAGTAGTAGAGGCACAGAAGAAGGACAGAATTCAAGTGTCCAACACTAGAAAACCTCTTTTTTTTCTATGTTAATCTTGCCAAAGTAAGGCTTTTTTTAATCTGGGTTTTTGTTTTTAATTTCATTTGTTTCATGCAAAAAGGGCTTTTTTGATCTGGGTTCTTGTTTTTAATTTCATCCGTTTCATGCAAAAATGATGTTTTTGATTGATCTATGTTATTACGTTGTTTCTTTTTTGAACTTGTATTTCTCGATGTGACAATGCGAATTGAATGGTCGATGTCATCCGGATTTTTCATTCTTTTCTGAAGTATCAGAACTCAAAACAGATCCTTCAAATGGTTCCGAGCTTTGAGAGCTTTTCTCATTATATTTATGTCTCAATACTGTATTCTGTCACTGTCACGTTTGGAAAACCGAGTGCCGAAACCCGAAGAGGCTCTTCAGGTGAGAGATGCTTTAGACAGACCTTTTCTGTATGTGAAAATTCAAGGAGCTTATGCATCCTGATGCTTAAACTGCACCGAGTCTATTTGAATCGATGTACACTACATGCTTGCTTGAATTTGATCGTTCGACTTGATTTGACCGGTTTTATGAACAACTTTATTATACGGTTTTAACAATGGATTTGGCAAGTTGAAGCTGGTGTCCATGATTATATGGTATGGAAATAGATGTGGATCCCTTTTTATTTCCTGATACAGAAATAAGCTATTATGGCAGTATCAGGTTTTAAAATGCAATTCGTTTTTTTTTTTCGTTTTGATCTTTCCTTTAGTTTGTCCATCTTAATGTATATGGATGATCACATTCAAGCTATGCTACATGTTTCAGTTTTGTTTTCCTTTTAATGCAGAGATACATTCAGCAGCATAATGAGGTTGAGCTTTCTGCCTTGGGCATGGGTACATTTCTCAGTTTTGTTCCTGTGAATTGTGAACTTTAAACTATGAAACCTGTTATCTCAATCTTTGTATTAACTTCACAATGTCAAGTGTCGACCTATTTACATTTTTCGGCTTCGAAAACGATTCATTTTCATGACGCTTCCTGATATTTCCCCCCTCAAATTTGTAATGAAGCAATCACTACCGTTGTTACTATTGCTGAGATCTTAAAGAACAATGGACTGGCTATTGAGAAGAGTAAGAATCTCAATCTCTTAATCCGAAAAAGCTTTCTGTCCTTGACGAGCATGAATAATTCGATACTGATTGTTTATGGAACAAAGCAGAAGTTTCGACATCCACGGTCAACATGAAAGACGAGAACAAAGGGCGTGTCGTCCTAAAAGCCAAGGTGGGTTTATATTCTTACAATCTATATATATTGATTCTGGATTTGGTTGCTGAATTCATTCTGATCTCTACTTGCTTGCTGTTTCAGATCGAAATTGTGTTGGGGAAGTCTGACAAGTTCGACTTGTTCATGAATGCTTCCAATGTGGCACCGGAGACCGATACCAAAAGCAAGGAATGACAATTTAGTGAAGCAAAATGTTTGACGTTCATTGTTGTAGTTCAATGTTCAATGTTCAAACTTGTGGATTAGTTAAATGCTTAAGAGAGTAGAGAGTGACAGCTTCTATAGAAATATATAACAATGAGCAGATTCCAGTTGTATGCTTATCTCTATACTGTGTGTGGAGGGATCATCTATGATATTACATTGTTTCTTTTCTGAACTTGTATTTCTCGATGTGACAACACGAAAATCGATGACTGAATAGTCAATCTCACCCGGATTTTCTTTCTTTTCTATAGTGTCAGTGTCTTATTTGTGTTGAACGCATATTCAGAAGGGCTATACAGTGTTTGATCCAACACTCTCCGTTCAAGTCCGGGTTACATGGTTGATGCCTAATTCTTACCAATCTGTTTGATGAAAATGTATTAGATATAAAATATGCAATTTGATTCTGTTCTACATCTGTAATCAGGACCCTAAACCGAATGCCAAAGCCCAAAGAGGTTCTTCGGGTTAGAGATGCTTTAGACAGACCTTTCCTGTATGTGAAAATTCAAGTAACTGATTCATCATGTTACTTAAACTGCACCGAGCCTATTTGAATCGATGTACACCATACGCTTACTTGAATTTAATCGTTCGATTTGATTTGGCCGGTTTTGCAAACAAGTTTATTTGCGGTTTGAACAATGGATTTGTAAGTTGAAGTTGGTATCCATGATTACATGGTATGGAAATAGATGTGGAACTCATACATGAAACGCAGTAAAATTTTATCTGTCCTTTTTTATTTCCTGATACAGAAATCAGCTATTATAGCACGGTTAGGTTTTAAAAATGCATTTCTTGGCTCTCTAAACCTTACTGAGGTTTCGATACGGTACCGATTCATTACATTCTTTTGGTATTCTCGCATGATGATCATGCCATCTATCGTTTCTACACTTTCTGAACTTTTAAGTACTTTACTTTGCTTGTTTCAGTCATATCGAACCCGTCGAACATATCGTGTTTCGATTCCGTGGTTAAAAATCTAAGTTATTCGGACAGAAATACGAATCGCCGTCCATTGCTTGTGGGGAAACTGCTCTGGAAACGATGCAGCTGGCTTACTCTGTTGTTACCATTGCAAAACTTATGTGTCCTACATGTTTGTTCCACAGCTGTGTGGAGCATATATCAACTTAGGTCTTGCCCCCTAATTTTTGAACTTAAGTACATCATAGGTCCCTGGTTTTTTGAAGTTAAATAATTTAATCCTTCTCAATATTTGATCCTAATTCCGTACATTCTTATCTCGTTTTCTTCGTTACCATTTTTCATATTTCCTACCAAACAAAGGTTTAAATCATCAGCATATCATATACCATTGGGAATTAGTTACTGATGTTTAAATTGCAGCCTTTGGTTGACATAAATTTCAGGCATTTTCTTCACATTACAACGTTATACTTAAAAGAAAGAGAGGTATACAGGTGAAATTGTATCATTAGTTCTCTAATTTGGTCAAATTGTAGGAGATTGTGAGGATGACAACCATGACAACCATGCACATCAAAATCACACTCTTTGCAGCTGAAGCATGAGTCCTTGCAATCTTCACCACATTCATCGCAGGCTATGTCAATGACAATGCTTTTCCCCAATTGTAGGATATTGTGAGGATGACAACCATGCCTTATGGACCGAGTTTGATACTTTGCACATGAATAATGCAAGTTGACATCAAACTTGACTCGATAGATCCTCATACAGAAGAAATGCTCGACCGACAAGAATATGGTGTGGGTGAAACAGACTCCTTTGAACTTGCCTGGGTATCTCATTCATAAATGATTCATGAATGACAAACTTACAAGGAAGGCATGTATAAAATACACTACTTCCATGGATCTCCCATTTGCGTGCCACTCACTTCAAATTTCCCGACTTCCATAAATTTCGAAAAACATTTTCCCCATACGGAGTCGTTGGAAAAGAAAACTTACAGCGAATCAGTTGATGCTGGTGTCTAAAATGATGAATTGGGGTGCCTTGTCGTGGCCATCCCTTTTCTTATATGGCCACAACCGGATACGTATGCCAAGGCCAACCATGTATAGGGCCTAGTGGCAGGGTAGAATAAGCTTGTCCTCTTTTCAAGCATTTCAATGTTTTAGGTAGGGAGTGGGGATATGTCTTAATGTCCCCTGTTCGAGCTTTTCAACGTCTATAGGTAGCATTTCTGTTATTTTGTTTTCGCATATATGTAGGGGGTGGACAGCCGGCAGAGTTTGGGCTGATCCACAGGTAAAGGTACGTGTCTTGTGAACATCATCGAGGGCCGCCCCTACGGCTTAATCGATGGTGTGGGTGAGTCTTCTGTAACCCGATGTTTCTTTTGTTAATAAAACATTTTTCCCTCGGAGAAGTCCGGGGGTTGAGGTGTGCATCCGCTATGCCCCACGGGCTTAAATATTGGTTGAGGGACCGTGTTGCTACAATGATCTAACGTAATGTTTATTCCTGTTTGATCAGATATACGAGATAAAGGCTGACTTGACTTGGGAAGAGTCCCTTTTCAGGTGCCGCACGGATTACAAACCTAGTTGGAAAAGGTAAGTCCGTGACACTTGGTATCAGAGCCGAATGATTCGTGGTAGACGAGATGTGTTCTTATTTCTTTTAAGGAATTTCGCCGAGCGCTTCAACATTAAGAGTTGGAAGGGGGACAGAGTTCATGCCGAGCGCTTCCAGTGGGGAGTAGGCCGGATGACCTGATCTTACGCCGGGCGCTCTAATGTATTGGGTAGGCAGGGTATTCCTATTTTCACGCCGAGCGCTTCACCGTTAAGAGTTGGAAGGGGGATCGAGTTCATGCCGAGCGCTTCCAGTGGGGAGTAGGCAGGATGACTTGATCTTACGCCGGGCGCTCTAACGTGTGGAGTAGGCAGGGTGTTATAATATTTTCACGCCGAGCGCTTCACCGTTAAGAGTTGGAAGGGGGATAGAGTTCATGCCGAGCGCTTCCAGTGGGGAGTAGGCAGGATGACTTGATCTTACGCCGGGCGCTCTAACGTGTGGAGTAGGCAGGGTGTTATAATATCACGCCGAGCACTTCAACGTTGAGAGTAGGCAGGGGGACAGAGTGCATGCCGAGCGCTTCCAGAGGGAAGTAGGCAGGATGACCTGGTCTTACGCCGAGTGCTCTAACGTGTGGAGTAGGCCGGGTGAAATAAGATGTGCCTTAATGTCACGCCGAGCGCTTCAACGTTGAGAGTAGGCAGAGGAGACAGAGTGCATGCCGAGCGCTTCCAAAGGGGAGTAGGCAGGATGACCTGATCTTACGTCGAGCGCTCTAACGTATGGAGTAGGCAGGGTGTCCCAGATTCACGCCGAGCATCTCAACGTGTAGGGTAAGCAGGGTAGACAGAGTTCATGCCTAGCGCTTCTTGAGGGGAGTAGGCAGGATGACCTGGTCTTACGCCGAGCGCCCTAACGTGTGGAGTAGGTCGGGTGAAATATAATGCGCTTTAATATCAGGTCGAGCGCCTCAACGTGTGGGGTAGGCAGGGTAGACAGAGTTCATGCCGAGCGCTTCCAGAGGGGAGTAGGCAGGATAACCTGATCTTACGCCGAGCGCCTTAACGTGTGGAGTAGGCCGGGTGAAATAAAATGATTTAGGCACAATAGTGCTCAATTGTGAAACTGCACAGGGATATTTTCATCTGAGTAACAATACAAGCTCATGTAATAACACTGTTTGGCAAGGGGATCTTGCTTTATGTAGCACGGAGGTGCTTTATGGTAACATTTGTGCGAGAATGCTTATTTGTGTTCTTGACATCAAGGCGATACTTTTGGCATGAAGATGCTGAAAGAATTTGTGTTGTGAGAAATTATATTCCAAGTATTCTGGTGCTTACTTGTGATTATTATTGTTTTTCCAGTGTTACCTAACAGATATTGGAAAATGGTTGGAACACGTTCCAGTGGTTCTGTAGACCAGAACAGAATTGAGAGTTTAGAAGCCGAAGTAGCGGCACTAAAAGCTGGAATGATTTCGGAGGATCGAGTTCGAGTGATTGAGTTAGCTCAAGCTCAACTCTCAGAAGCCTTAAACGAACTTAAGGCTGAAGCGCAAAATGCTATCAGTTCTGTGTTAGAGTCGTTCGACGAACTCAAGGCTCAAGTCAATTTAATTCAACTCGCTGTGGGTAATCTGGGTTCAGGCATTGTTGACAAAAGTCAAAGGGTCAAGGTACCGGGACCCCAGCGGTTTGGCGGGACCAGGGATGCTAAAGAGTTGGAGAATTTCTTGTTTGACATGGAGCAATATTTTAAAGTGATGCAGGCTAACTCCGAAGAGGACAAGGTCTCTATGGCCTCAATGTATCTTGCAGGAGATGCCAAATTATGGTGGCGATCCAAGTTTGTTGACGGCGTGTGTTCCATCAATACTTGGGATGATTTAAGGAAAGAATTGAAGAAAACCTTCTTCCCGGAGAATGTGGAGTACAATGCACGAAAGAAGCTGAGGGGACTAACACAAACAGGAACTGTTTGTGAATATGTGAGAGAATTTGCAACATTGATGCTAGACATCCGAGACATGGCTGAAAACGACAAAATGTTCTATTTCTTGGAAGGGCTCAAACCGTGGGCTAGAACAGAGATCCAGAGACAACGAGTAGAGGATGTGACTGAAGCTATGAATGCCGCTGAGCGTCTCAGCGATTATACTAATGTTATAGTCAAGCGAAAAGGCCCCTATCAAGGAGAGGACAATATGTTTAGGGGTGATGGTGGTATTAATTTCAGTAATGGGAATAAGGTGGCCAGAGGGGATGGAGCTTTCAGTTGGGAAACAGATAAGAGGCCTTTTCTCCGAGACCCAATACCAAATACATCAAGTAATGGGTATAGGCAGAGTGGCGATAAACCGAGGCAAACTGTGGATTCACATCCTAAGAATGGGCATAGGCAAAGTGGGGAAAGACCCAGATCATCCTTGGAGTGCTATTTGTGTAAAGGCTCTCATCGATTGGCTGAGTGTCCGCATAGGAGGGCTTTTAATGCGCTTGTGAACACATCGAGGAATGAATCACAACAAGATCCATCAGAAGAGGATACTGAAAATGAACCAGCTAGAATGGGTTCGATTCGATTCTTGTGTGCGTTACAAACTCAAGTTAGTAGGTTAAGGAAAGAGCCAGTTAGGGGCCTCATGTATGTGGATCTCGTAGTGAATGGAATAACTTCAAGGGCCCTGGTGGACACTGGAGCAACCGACACTTTCATCTCCCCTGAGGAAGCTATGAGGTGCGGGTTGAATGTTATCAAGGAAGAGGGGCAGATGAAGGCAGTGAACTCGTCCGCCGTGGCGATATGTGGGACCGCTAAGAATGTGAAGATAAAACTAGGAGTATGGGAGGGGGAAGTTGACTTTACCATATCTCCGATGGATGATTTTGATGTTGTCTTAGGTATCAACTTTATGATATCAGCACGAGTTATTCCGATGCCTTCTACAAGTTGTTTGATGCTGTTGGGAGAGATCCCATGTGTAGTGCCGACAACCTTGCTGCCGAAGTTGGAAAGGAAGAATTTTACCAAGAGAGAAGTCCTCAACACAACGTCAAAAGGAAAAGGTTCGAGAAGCACTCGTCGATGAGGACATCGACTAAATGGGTGGGGTAGAATGTCGTGGCCATCCCTTTTCTTATATGGCCACAACCGGATACGTATGCCAAGGCCAACCATGTATAGGGCCTAGTGGCAGGGTAGAATAAGCTTGTCCTCTTTTCAAGCATTTCAATGTTTTAGGTAGGGAGTGGGGATATGTCTTAATGTCCCCTGTTCGAGCTTTTCAACGTCTATAGGTAGCATTTCTGTTATTTTGTTTTCGCATATATGTAGGGGGTGGACAGCCGGCAGAGTTTGGGCTGATCCACAGGTAAAGGTACGTGTCTTGTGAACATCATCGAGGGCCGCCCCTACGGCTTAATCGATGGTGTGGGTGAGTCTTCTGTAACCCGATGTTTCTTTTGTTAATAAAACATTTTTCCCTCGGAGAAGTCCGGGGGTTGAGGTGTGCATCCGCTATGCCCCACGGGCTTAAATATTGGTTGAGGGACCGTGTTGCTACAATGATCTAACGTAATGTTTATTCCTGTTTGATCAGATATACGAGATAAAGGCTGACTTGACTTGGGAAGAGTCCCTTTTCAGGTGCCGCACGGATTACAAACCTAGTTGGAAAAGGTAAGTCCGTGACACCTTGGTGATCCTCCTCGACAGTTTTAGCCATCTCAAGCACATCATAGAAAATAGACAGCGCATTTGAAATCAAGTTTGAGCTCACAGTACATGCACCTGTGAATCTTTTCGTCATACTAAATTCACAACTTACTCATAATATAGAGACTAATGAGGAATTTGACAAAAATATGTTTGCCAAAAATAAAAGAAACTACAAAATCACAGGATTATTTTCGTCATCGAATCTTTATACAGGGGTCAAAAATGAAAAATCAGCTTTCTCCAAGGCCCCTACATAAATAATTCCCGCCCAAAATCAAGATAATTTTCACAAACTTCACTGGTTTCGTTTCTCTCTTGCAAGAAACCTCAAAGCCTAACCATATTTAGCTTACTCCATGTCTCCTATAGTTTTCAAGAAATCTCACAACATAATAAAGGAACCCTCAAACCCCATCTTCTTCTTCCTCTTTTCATCTTCTCTCTTCATCTCATGTAAGTCTCCCGATTCAATCCATTTCTTAAGTTTTAAGGTTCTGTGTTGTAGTATATTTTAATTTATCCGTCTGATTTGAGGTTTCAAGAGCTTACTAATAATGGGTTATCTTTGTGTTGTTTATGTTTTTATGGGTTATCTTTTTGGAGTTTAATTACTTGCTGCTGCTTGGTTAAGTTTTGTTTTTGGTAGAACCAATATTGTTGGATTTTAGTACTTGTATGTTTGAGTTTTAAAGATAAGAGTTTGGCACAATTTTATAGTCAATATGTCCTTTTCGATCTTTATTTTTAAGAAACAGTAAGATTGGAATATATGTTTTGCATTGTAATATTATTCATATGTTAATATTTCTTCTTCTTCTTTTTTATTGGTTGCAGCAAAACAATTATGGCTGAAGTTGATCAAAGCTTTGTTGAAAATGAAGTGGAACAGGCTCAAGAACATGAAAATTTGGGGCATAATATGAACCTGGGGCATGATTTGAACTTGGAACAGAATGCGAGCTTTGAGCACAATGCGAACTTGGAGCACTTTGCGAACTTGGAGCAGTGCTTTGACTTGAAAGACATTCCAGAAGAGAACTTAGAGGAGCAGAAGTTGCAGCAAGAATCAGAACATCAGAACTTAAACTTGAAAGACAATCCAGAAGAGAACTTAGAGGAGCAGAAGTTGCAGCAAGAATCAGAACATCAGAACCTAAACTTGAAAGAAAATCCAGAAGAGAACTTAGAGGAGCAAATGTTGCAGCAAGAATCAGAACAACAGAACTTAAACCTGAAAGAAAATCCAGAAGAGAACTTAGAGGAGCAGAAGTTGCAGCAAGAATCTGAACATCAGAACTTAAACTTTAAAGACAATCTAGAAGAGAACTTAGAGGAGCAGAAGTTGCAGCAAGAATCAGAACAGATGAACCTAAACTTGAAAGAAAATCCAGAAGAGAATTTAGAGGAGCAAATATTGCAGCAAGAATCAGAACATCAACCAAAAGAACATGAAGATGAGGCAGTGGTTGGTGATGGTGAAAAGAAGTGGCCTGGATGGCCTGGAGAGAGTGTGTTCCGGATGTTGGTTCCCGCAAAAATGGTTGGCAGTATAATTGGACGAAATAGGAGATTCATAAAGAAGATAATGGAGGAGGCAAGAGCTCGTATCAAGATAATTGATGGTCCTCCAGGGACAACTGAGAAAGCTGTAAGTTGATACATTCTCTTCTCAGCTTATATTATATTCAATCTTTGATTATGATGATAGACTACCATGGCAGAACTAGTCCTACTTGTCAAGTGAACTATTGTGATATAAGTCACACGAGTACTTTGATTAATACAACACAAAGTGGCTTTCCTTAATTGCTAACTTAGCTGACAGTCATTGCAGGAGATACCTTTATGGTCATTGCAAGTTTTTCTGTTTTTATTTGGTTGACATTCCATGTGCATTCATTTACCTTTTTTTTTGGTGTGTGATTAAGCCATGAAAAGTTAAATATAATAAATAAATTGAAATAATAAAAAAATATACACAGAAGTAAAAAATCAAGCTTCAAAATATTCTTTTCTAATTTAACAAATATATAAAGAAGTTATAGAATAAAACATTAAAGATTAGGAAGAAGGATGGAAGTGATACGTTAATGGATGCAAGGTTTAAACTTTAAAGTGCTTGACACTGGAGTTATTTGAATAAATATAATTCATTGTTACATAATAATTGTTCATCACCTCTTAAAGTTGTAATACTTTTGCAGATAATTACCTCCCCAAGTGATAATATCATTTTAAATATTTTACCAAGTCAAGAAGATTGTAAGAAAAAGGCCGTAAGAAGCTACCCGTGGAATACAAATACAGTTCCCTTTATTGAAAACTCATGTAAAGCCCGTCTCAATTAAACAGTATATGTGTGTATGATATATTTCCCAGTTGAACTCAGTTTGTATTCTAAATAACTTGCAAATACTTAACAGGTGAAAACAACTTGGTTAATAAATCTATTCCCTTAACAAAATAACAAGGATAATAATTTTCACAAATACTTGGCCATATATTGGAAGAAGGCAATTCAACTAAGATCAAGATAAATAGAACAGTTAAAGTTCTATATCATTGTTAAACATGATAAGCTTTCTTTTAAGCAAAAGGAGTTTAATTGTATATTTTAGAGTATATCAAATCTAAGTCAATGTGGCATATAGGAAAATTTGATTTTTCAATGCATTATGCTTCATATTTACCCATCTTCCCTCATTTGCTTGTGGCATATAGGAAAATTTGATTTTGTATTAGTTCTTATTTTCTCACCAATTTTATCTGGTCAGATGGAGTATGAGTCATAACAATGTAGCCTTTGTGCTGCCCCCGCTGCTTTGTCTTTTGAATAGGTAATGGTATCTGCAAAGGAGGAGCCTGATTCTTCTCTTCCGCCTGCCATGGATGGGCTTTTAAGGGTCCATAAACGTGTTATTGATTGCTTGGAGGCTGATTCAACTTATGGGACTTCGGCTGTGGGAACCAAGATTTCAACGAGGCTTCTAGTCCCTGACACACAAGCTGGAAGCTTGATTGGAAAACAAGGAACAACTGTCAAGTCCATTCAACAATCGTCTAATTGTATTATTAGAGTTCTTGGAGCAGGTTTTCTTCTCTGGATTTTGTTTTCACTTTTTGTTTTTTTGCCTTCTCTCTTATTGGAAACATTTGCCATTTCTTTCAAGTTGTTTGTTGGGGTTGCTGAAAGAGTAAAGCTTAGTGACCTATCTTTCATAAACTATTTTCAATTGTTTATTGAAGTAGTTCTTAATTTAACTCTTCTGTTTCTAGATATTTTTCGTTAATAATGGTACTAGAATTCAAGAATACGGTTTTCGGTTCAAATGCTGATAATTTGAAATTGTTTATTTAAGGTTTGAAATCCTTTGTATGATAATCTCACACTATCATTTTATTCTAGTGGTTTTGTTTGTAATTTCTTGTGCTTTTGATTGGTTTTGTTTATAATAATTTGTAATCATTTTGAAATGCTGCAGAAGACCTTCCAGTCTTTGCTCTTCAAGATGATAGGGTTGTTCGAGTTGTGGGAGAAGTAGTTGGCGTGCAAAAAGGATTGGAGCTAATTGCATCTCACCTCAGGAAGTTTTTAGTGGACAGCAGTATAATTCCCTTGTTTGAAATGAATGTGGGGCTTCTACTTTTTGTTGACCTACTGATTGATTGGTCCTCCGTCAGTGTATAGACTAATGAAAATCTATTACGTGTTTCTATCAGATGCAAAAGTTTAATCCTCGTATGGATCACATGCCACCTCATCAAACCTGGAGTCCACCACACGGTGTCCCCCCAAATGCTAGTGGAGGTGCTGGTTTTGGACACAATCCTCAGTATATTCCTCCTCTGCGGCAACTTGATAATTACTACGATCCTGATATGCCTCTTATGGATAAACAGCTGCAAAAGGGTATTTCTGCCTACGGAAGAGAATCCCCGATGGGTGCTCATGGATCATCAAATCCCAATGCACCTTTGATGATCACACAGGTACCACCATTACATACGTGATCTCTTTTACTCCATTTTCCTCCCTATATATGTTCCTTTTCACTTTAGACAAAGATGCCGGCAGCTATTGTTATTTGTTGTTCATGATTTTATTTTTTCAAGTAATGGGGATGGTATACTGAATTTTAGTGCTAAGAGTTACATACCTTTCTTTGGTTTTGTTTCTGGCTTCTGATCAATTTTTGGCAGCTATTTAAAGTATTGTTGTACTTGGTGTAGACTCCTGACAGCAAGTTCTTTCATGTCATGTAAAGTGTTAAGTCGATGACTCAAACAACCAGATTTTAATCTATTAACAAACTTTTTTGTCTTTGCAGGCCACTCAGCAAATGCAGATTCCTCTCTCTTATGCTGCTGCTGTTATCGGGACAACTGGTGAAAGGATTAGCTTTATTCGACTTGTTAGCGGGGCAACTGTCAGCATTGAAGAGACAAGGGGTGCTGTTGGGGAAATGACAGTTGAAATAAGTGGAACTGCTTCACAAGTTCAAACTGCTCAGCAACTGATACAGGCATGCCCTTTCCCCTGGCCTCTAAACTTTTTCGTCTTTCTTTTTTGATTTGCTAGGTTGAAAATAGTTTCCATGTGCTTGTCATTGCTTATTCTTCTGATTTCGTTTCAAGGCCGTTTTCTACAAGCCCGGTGATTTGGCCCTCTAGTTGTAGCACAAGGAACTAATGTTATCATTCACAATCGTTTGATGCATCATAGTTTGAACTTATATTATGTTGCAGGCTTTTATGGCTCAAGATGCAGCTGCAACGACAGGTCAGAGACAAGGCGGTGGGCCAAGCTTATAATCTGTACACCACTCATGGTTCTGTATACGCATCACACAATCCAATCAAGGACATGGTGACCGGGCTGGAGGATACGGCTCGGGGTATGATTCAAACTATGGGTACTAAGAAAAGGATTGTTCTTTTTCAATGTCATTTTTGAGATCATAAAATGTTGGAAACCACAGAATTGGTTTTGAAGTATGAATTCTGCTTTAGTTGGAACAAACATTTTTCATTTAGAAAAAAAGATAAAAATTTTCTTTAATTTTTACCAGTCCTTCAATTCTCTTTTTAGAGGTAGCTTATAGTATAATATGAATCAATTTTCAATAAATTACACAAAGTTCAAATGCAAATAATTCGAATACATCAATTATACATGCTATTCATTTTAAATATTTATATAGATCTTAACAGTATATAATTAACTACAAACACTAACTAAACATACTATTGTTTCCCATGATATTACATACACTTAGTGGCCCAAAACACATAGAGGTTGTTACCAAAATGCTCTAGCTTTGCATAGTAAGCATGCCTCCAAGACCTTATGAAAAACAGGGGAGCCACCACTCCCCAAAATCGCATTACGAACCCAACAACCATGCTCACGTAAAACCCATTCACTTTGCTTCTTCCTCTGCTGTCTCCTTTCTTTGTAGCATCAGTCGGAACACCTTTAGTGTTGCAGCTTTTACTCGCAGGAGGCCTGCAAAGATAATTGCCCAAGAAGGAAGAGTTATCAAAGCTTTGAAGCTGAGTGGCTGTTGGGATTTGTCCTGTCAGATTGTTGTAGGACACGTTGAAGTGATTCAAGAAGTTCAAATTGGACAAACTTGAAGGGATTCCACCATGCAAACGATTCATTGACAGATCAAGAGCTTCCATCAACTTCAAGTTGCCAATGCTGTCTGGTATATTTCCTGTTGCCAAATTCCCTGACAAATTTAATGACAATAGCCCAATAAGACTTCCAAGTTCTTTGGGAATCTATCCTGTGAGACTGTTAACTGAAAAGTCTATGCTAATAACAAGTTCCGGTGTAGTACTATGCTCGTCCTCTCTTCCTTTCAGCACCAATGAAGCACTCATCAAATAATTGTACAGATCTTCAAATCCAGGGTACAAACCCGCTTGGTAGCAGTAATTATTTGGCTTTTCTTTAGTGACCATTGCACTTAAATTTCTCAAACAATTTGGAATAGCTCCTGAAATATTGTTGTGTCCAAGGTCCAAGTTCTGAAGAGATTGAAGAGTGCAAATTGTATGAGGAATATGACCATCAAAGTTATTTGAACGGAGGCTTAGTACCACAAGCTTAGAGAGCTTGTCATTGATCCATGCTGGTACACTTCCACTGAAATGACTTTCACTTAGATCAAGAAGAGCCAAACTCGTACAATTTTGCAACGTGGAGGGTAATTCTCCAAACATGCTATTGTTTCGAAGGTTTAGCATTTCACGTCTTACATGTCCCAAAGAAGATGGGACATTGAATTACCTGTCAAATTGTTGTTTCCCAAATTTAAGAACTCCAGCTCCTGCCAACGGTTCCAGCAATCTGGAATTTCTCCAAGAGAAGATTTGCATCAATGAGAGGAACTGACATTGAATTCCTTGATGAATTGCATATAAATTCAGAGAGGGATCCTGAAAATGAATTCCTTGACAAAATTAAATATGCAATGGTTGCAACAGTCTTGGCAGTGGACCAGCGAACCGGTTTGAACTCAGGTCGACAATGTAGTCTCCTTTTGAAATTGAGAGGAAAGGTTCAAAAACCAAGTGGGAATGACATCTGAAATTCTTGTATCAGAGATATCTAAACGAGATAACTTCTTTTGGAACTTCAACCATTGGGGAAACTTCAAGCCAAGATGCAATTGACTCAGTTCAATAATTTCACATTGAAACGGAGGAATCCAACTTGAGTTTGGTTCAAATCTCAACATGTTTTCGGATGCTGTCAAAGTTGTCGAACTTCGTAAGATTAGAGAAATGAGTCTCTGATACAACTCCTTTCAATTGATTTTGCCCAATATCTAGAACTTTTAAATTGGAGGAAAAGTACCATTTATTTGATTTTTTGAAACATTAAAGAGCTTCAAAGATGATAACTCCACTATCAACGATAGAATGGGGCCAGAAATGTTGTTTTGAGCAAGGGAAAGGTGAGCTAAATTTTTAAATTGCGCAAGTTGATCTGTTAAATGGCCAAAAAGTTTGTTATCTGCCATACTTAAAGACTCTAAGCTATCCAAACAATATTTAGACAAACTCTGTAGGATTTTCCATTAAATAACAAATCCATCTCCTTCAATTTGTAAACATCTCCCAAAGAGGTTAGTACTTTTCCTTGATGCTGATTATCTGAAAGATCAAGGTTATGAGGAATTGCTCCCCAGAATCTTGCTTGAGAGAGGTTAAGATATGTTAAACTCCTCAGCTAACCGAAAATCTCGGAGATTTGAATGCTGCTAAAATTGTTATTGCTCAAGTCAAGCCAATTGAGATGCTGCAACTCCAGCAGAGAAGGATTTATTTTGCCTCTTACAGGTGAACGACGGTAAGTTTCCCATTTAGCAAGTGTTCTATCATCATAAGGAGCTGACAATGGAGAAGCCAAATGAAGTTGGAGGACGTGGCCTGTTGAGTTATGGCAGATGACCCCATTCCAATGACAGCAATCCACACCTTCAACCCAAGAAGATAGGATGTTTGAGGGATCAATCAGATCATTCTTGAACTTCAAAAGAGCATCTCTCTCACTTTCAATGCAAAGCACATTAGAATTGCCATGGCAGAAGCTAACACAGATAGCTGCAATGAGAAGAAGAAATGGGAATAATGAAATTGTAAGAGTTGTCATTGTTGCAATTGTATTGTAGCAACCTTCACTAGCAACTCTGAATATATAGAGAGAGAAAACTAAAACAAAAAAACTATATGGTCGAGAGAAGGCGCAAGGAACTTTCATCCAATTCCCCAAATTTCCACAGAAAGCATTTAATTGCATTAAAAGTCCTTTTTAATATCAAATTAACAAAGTATATTTCTTCCATCTTACTTTTTAAAAGCATATTCAATAACAAAATAGAGTTGACAAGTCAAGTACTCAAAACGAAGTCTATGGAATAAACTCGACTCCCATGGCACGACGAAAATGAAACAGCAAATTAGTTATCCTTTTTCTAATTTTATGTATCTAATGTGGAATTTAACAACCTCCACAAACTTATGAAATGAACATGACAAAGGAGGCTGAAGGTTCGTCTAACTCGAGATTCCGGTATCCGGAAGTTGGCGTTCGAGTCAGGTCGAAGTGTTTCATGCCTCTGCCACAGTGGTGGTCGTGGAATAAGACCCTACGAAGGGAGACCACCACTGGAAATAGAAAAGTAGGCTGCCACTAATTTTGTATGTTCGGTGTATTTTTTGGTGTGAACTAGGGGAGTTTTTCGTCTTATCTATTCAAGAGTTCAGTAAGATTATAAAAACCATAAGACTTAAATAATATTTATGAAAACAAAAAAAATAATATTACCTATTTTATATATAAAAAAGGCAAAAAATAAATAATATAGCGTGTAACAAAAAGTAGAGATGCTCCTCTAGATCTTCCAGCAATATTGATGTGCAGAGAATGTATAACAAAAAGCAGGATGGACCGAGGGTGGGTATGGGTAGTCATTTTAAAATTACTATAAATTTTAGATTTTTCTATATATTTTCTATTGAAAACATGTTTTTTTCCCTGAAATTCAAGTTCTCCCCATAAAATTTTAAAAGTTCAAGTTCACCACCCCTAACATAGAATCCTGCGTCCGCCATTGACAAAAAGTATTTTACCTATTTTATATAAATAATAGTAAAGAGATTAAATCAACACAAAATAAATAATAAAGTGTGTAAAATTATTATTGATCAATTCTTTCGTGGTTTAAGAACTGTACATCTCATAATCTATTGTTTAATGACTTCATTTAGATTTATTGCTTTCTGCATTTTTCTCTAAAAAATGAATGAGAGGCAAGTGGATTCCCTGTATTCCCTGAAAAACTTTGCAAGTAACTCAAGCTGATCACTTAATGGAAGGATTAAACATAGTCATGCATTCTCAAATACATGAATAGTTATTTAAATAAACAAAGCTAATATAATAGAAGGATTAAATCTGCATAAAACAAATAATAGACTAAACAAAGTTAGTAAAAAGGACACCTATGGCCTCCTTAACCCAACCATATATACTCATTCTTGAACTAGTGAACACACTTCATCCATATTTCAATTAGTTACACAAACCTTAACTCTACATGCTATGTTCTTTTTCAATTATGCTTACCATTTTTTAACATATATAGAGATGAATCCTATACGATCAACTACAAACACACACAAACGTTAATTATACATGTTATTGTTTTCCCATGGAACTACGTACACTTGGTAGCCCAAAACACATAGAGCTTGTTACCAAAATGTTCTATCTTTGCATAGTAAGCATGCCTTCAAGACCTTATGAAAAACAGGGGAGCCACCACTCCCCGGAATCCCATTATAAACACAACAACCATGCTCACATAAAATCCATTCACTTCACTTCTTCCACTGCTGTCTCTTTTCTTTGTAGCATCATTCGGAACACCTTTAGCGCTGCAGCTTTTACTCACAGGAGGCCCGCATAGATGATTGCTCATGAAGGAAGAATTATCAAAGCTTTGAAGCTGAGTGGACGTTGGGATTTGTCCTGTCAGATTGTTGTAGGACACATTGAAGTGGTTCAAGAAGTTCAACTTGGACAAACTTGAAGGGATTTCTCCATGTAATCGATTCATCGACAAATCAAGTGATTCTATCAACTTCAAGTTGCAAATGCTATCTGGTATATTTCCCCTTAGCAGATTCCCTGACAAATTTAATGACAATAGCCCAATAAGACTTCCAAGTTCTTTGGGAATCTCTCCTATGAGATTGTTAACCGAAAGGTCTATGCTGGTAACAAGTCCCAGTGTGGTACTATACTCGTCCTCTCTTTCTTTCAGCACCAATGATGCACTGAAATACATTCTCAAATCTACGCCTACATAATTGGAAGACCACTCATAGTAGTAGTTAATTTGTTTTTCTTTAGTGGACATTGCACTTAAATTACTTAGACATTTAGGAATTGCTCCTGAAATATAGTTATGTCTAAGGTCCAAGTTCCGAAGAGATTGAAGAGCTCAAATTTTATGAGGAATATGACCATTAAAGTTATTTGATTGGAGACTTAGTACCACAAGGTTAGAGAGCTTGTCACCAATCCATGTTGGCATTCTTCCACTGAAATGATTTTCACTGAGATCAAGAATAACCAACTCCATACAATTTTGCAAAGCGGAGGGTAATTCTCCAAACATGCTATTGTTCCGAAGGTTTAGCATTTCAAGAATCTCCCAAAGATGGCATTTTTCTGGTCAAATTGTTGTTTCCCAAGTTTAAGAACTTCAATCCCCGCCCAAGGTTCCAACAATCTGGAATTTCTCCATAGAGAAGATTTGTATCAATGTGAAGAACTTGCATTCATGTCACTGATGAATTGCAAACAAATTCAGAAAAGGATCCTGAAAATGAATTCCTTGACAGACTTAAATATCCTAAAGATTGCAACAGCCTTGGCAGAGGACAAAAGAATCAGTTTGAACTCAGGTCGACAATGTTTCCTACATTTAAATATGCAATCCTTCCGGTAAGATGATTAGAGGAAAGATTGACGTATACAAATTGAGAGGAAAGGTTCATAAACCAAGTGTGCACGACGTCTGTTATTCCTGCATGAGACATATCTAAATTAGACAAATTCTTTTGGAACTTCAACCACAGGGGAAACTTGGGGCCAAGATGCCATTGACTCATTTGGACAACTTCACATTGAAATGGGCGAATCCAGCTTGAGTTTGGTTCAAATCTCAACATGTTTCCGGATGCCATCAAATTTGCCAACATCGTGAGATTAGAAAAATGAGTTTCTGATACATCTCCTTCCAACTGATTTTTCCTAATATGTAGAACTTCTAAATTATTCAGCTGCCCAAAACTTGGAGGAAAAGTACCATTTAATAGATTCATTGAAACATCAAAGACCTTCAAAGATGATAACTCTCCTATTGACATTGGAATGGGACCAGAAATGTTGTTTCGAGCAATGTACAAGTAAGTTAATTTTTTAAATTGCCCAAGTTGAGTTAAATGGCCAGAAAGTTGGTTATCTGCCATATTCAATGACTCTAAGCAATCCAAACAACATTTAGACAGGCTTTGTAAGATATCAGATATCTCTTGTTCAATTTGATTATACGACAAATCCATCTCCTTCAATTTGCAAACATCTCCCAAAGAGGCTGGTACTTTCCCTTGCAGCTTATCATGTGAAAGATCAAGGCGAGTGAGAGAGATCAAGTTTCCAATGGCACTCGAAATTTCACCTTGTAAATTGTTATCAGTGAGATTAAGGGATTGAAGATGGTTTAAACTATACAAGGAGTTGGGTATGGATGAATTGAGTGAGTTGAAACTAAGATAAAAAACTTCAAGAAACGACATGTTCCCAAAGTAATATGGAATTGGGCCTTTCAAATAATTGAAGCTAAGATCAAGGGATACAAGACCATGAAGACTAAATATAGACATAAGAACTGTAGATAATCTGTTCCCAGAAAGATCAAGAACAACTAGTGATTTTGTAGAATTAACAGTGCTGATCGGAGTTGTATAATTTGGTAACCTGCAATCAGACAAGTGCAACTCTAACAAAGAAGGAAGATTGAATATTGTTACCTGCAGCCAATCAGTTTCTTTACTAAGATCCACTTCACTCAAAGCAAGGTACTGCAAAGAAGAAAGTCTAAAAATCCATTGAAGACTTTTTACTTCTTCCGAGAAATAATTACCTCTGAGGTCAAGATACAACAACTCTGAGAGATTCCCAAGGTTATGAGGAATTGCTCCCTGGAATCTTGCTTGAGAGAGGTTAAGATATGTTAAACTCCCCATCAAACCCAAAAACTCAGAGATTTGAATGCTGCTAAAATTGTTATTGTTCAAGTTAAGCCAATTGAGTTGCTGCAACTCCAACAGAGAAGGATTTATTTTGCCTCCTAGAGCTGAACGACCGTAAGCTTCCCAATCAGCAAGTGATGCATCATAATTAGGAGCTGAAAATGGAGCAGCCAAGTGCAGTTGGTGAACGTGGCTTGTTAGTACTAAAACGGACCAAAACTGATATTTTAGGTACTAAACGTGTTAAGTTTTTAACGGCGAGTACTAAAATGAAACAAAAACTAAACATTAGGCATGATTTTGAAAAAAATTAAAAGTTTAGGTACTAAAACGGACCAAAATGATAGTTTATGCACTAAATGTGTAGTTTACCCTTAAATATATATAATCACGAATTTGAAGTTAAAAATTTGATTTGAGGATTTTAGAATTTATATTCTATGTATTTTAATCAAGCCAGGTTTCAAAAAAAATTGTTTTTAAATAAATTTATTGAAAATATGTTTTATAAATAAAATAAGGACCTAATTATAAATGGATCAAAACTTTAAAAACTACAAAACTATTAAACCAAAATGTTTGAATATTAGTTATTTACTTAGAGACTTCAGATTCAATTCTCGTTGGTTTCCCTCCTTCATTTTCCATTCTAAATTTTTGCCAAAGACTTTTTATTTCTCTGTTTTTCCTCAATACTAAATACACCAAATTACTTCTAAAATTTCCAACAAATCAATTAAAATGGTGAAATTTAAGAGTTTTTTTTTATTAAGCTAAGGTGATTAAAATGTTAGATTTTTTTAAGTTTTGAAGCCTAATTTAAACATCGGGGTTAAATTAGGAAATTACATAGATTCAGGGGTTTAAATGGTTAAAATCTAAACTCTGAGGGATCTAATTGAATTAAATCAGAATATAATGACTTAATTAAAAATTAAACTTAGGGACTAAATTGAATGTATTTTAAATTTGGTGGCTTAATTAGAGGGATTTGAAAAATTGGAGAACTAACTAAACACATAAATAAATTTGAATGTGCAAGTGAGGGATGTCCCTGGTGTATACATGCAGCAAAACTTCCTTGTGTCCTAACATTCACAATCAGAACCAGCCATGAGACCCATACATGTGAAGCCATTCCTCGTCTTGGCCAGCATCAACAAGCCTATATATGGAATAAAGATTAGTGGAGAACCCTAATTACAGGCCCAATGAGATATTGGAAGAGATTCATCGAGTTCATGAAGTCGCCTTATCCTGGCGAGGCAAGGAGCGCATCTAACAGCGAATATAGTTGAATCATTGAATTCTTAGATTTTAGAAGGGCCTCCAATAATTCAGATGATGAAATGCATTAGGATGAGCAGTGAGAGACAAGTATGCAGTGGGGATCGATGCTTGTTCCTTCAGCCGAAAGGCATGTTGCGAAAGTCGTTGAGTATGCGCACATACATAAAGTGTTTCATGCTAACGAAGCTGAATTTGAAGTTATATCTTGTGATGGGATCAACACCATGGACATTCGCAATCGATGTTGCCTCCGTCGTGGCTGGAAGTTGTATGGTTTACCCTGTGTACACGTGGCAACACTTCTTTCTTGCAGGCAGAGTGTTCAATTGTTCATTGACTTACCGAGAGTTGTTTCACCGTTGCAACATATCAAAAGGCATATTCTCAAACCATCCATCCGATCCCAGATAAAAGTCTATGGAAAGAGTTATCCGCAGGGGATCCAGATGCCAACAAAGCCGTTCAAGTTATCGTTCACCCACCCAAGTTATCGTTCAAGTTATCGGTCGACCATGGAAAAAGCGAGTTCGAGCAGAAAACCATGGCCGTGAGAAGGGAGTTGTGCTTTGTAGCCGTTGCAATCAGACAGGCCATTTAGAACATGTGTAGTATGTTGGGAAATAAACTAGTAATTTCCCTATAACCAGATTAGTGAGAATGCGAAATAAAAGCGGAAAAATAATACCCGAAATTGATAATGGAGTTCAGCCAATTTTGCCTACGTCTCCGGACTGCTGCAGATCTTTTACTAAAGAGAGAAATTTTACAGGTGTTTACAAAACACTCACAACTCACAAGAAAACTCTCTAGTATTGAGAGAAAGAAATGATTTGGATGATTTTGAAGCTAAATGAGTTAGGTTATTTCTAGTTGAATCTCATTCGGCGGTGCCCCCTTTGTTGAAATTCATCACCCCTTTTTGACTTTACAATCTCCCACTTGAAGATTGATTTTAATCATTCTTCAAACCTCGATCAATGCAGCAGTATTTATGGTCTTGTTAGTCTAGCATGCCAACTGAAGTTGAACACAACTTCAGTTTGTCCGTAGTCATCGTCTTTGTTAACATATCTGCTGGATTTTGAGCTCTACTAATCTTTTCAAGTTTCAAAATCATATCTTCCAGAAGAGACCGGATAAAATGATATCACAATTGTATGTGCTTCGTTTTGGAATGAAAAGGCAGATTCTTTGCTAGATGGATAACACTTAGATTGTCACAATACAAGACATTATTTTCTTGTTTCTTGCCTAACTCTTCTAAGAAAATTTAGAGCCAAACTATCTCCTTGCTGGCTTCCGTAACAGCTACATATTCTGCTTCAGTTGTGGAGAGAGCAACTATCTTCTGTAGTTGAGAAACCCAACTCACTGCAGTACCTCCTAGAGTATAGACATACCTTGTAGTGCTTTTTCTGATGTTAACATTTCCGGCTAAGTCAGCATCTACATATTCTGTCAATATCGTATCTCATTCTTTGAAACAAAGTGTTTTGTTTGTGGTACCCCACAGATATAGGATCCATTTGACTGTTTCCCAGTGTACTTTACCCGGATTATTCATTAACCTGCTAACAGCTCCCACTGCTTGAGCAATATATGGTCTGGTACAAACCATGGCACACATCAGACTTCCAATTGCTGAGGCATATTGCACCTTCACCATGTGTGCACGTTCTTCCTCCGTCCTTGGTGTCTTTTCTTTGGAGAGTCTAAAATGAACACCTAAAGGTATACTTACTAGTTTAGTATCTTGCATGTTGAACCTGGAGAGTACTTTGTTGATGTACTCAGCTTGTGATAACATCAAAGTTCTCGACTTTGTGTCTCTCTTGATCTTCATCCCAAGAATCTGCTTTGCAGCGCCCAGATCTTTCATTGCAAACTACTTCGACAATTTTTGCTTCAAGTTTATAATCTCTTGCATGTCTGAGCCTGCAACGAGCATGTCATCAACGTACAACAATAAAATAATGAAGTTGTTGTCGAACTTCTTGATGTAGCAACAATGATCTTCTTGGCATCTGGTAAAACCACTGCTACCCATGAAACTATCAAACTTATTGTACCACTGTCTAGGAGCTAGTTTTAAACCATACAAGCTCTTCTTCAATCTGCATACCAGGTTTTTCTTGCCTGCCTCTATGAAGCCTTCTGGCTGCCTCATATAGATTTCTTCCTCTAAATCACCATGAAGGAAAGTTGTCTTCACATATAACTGCTCAAGATGTAGATTCTCTGCAGCTACAATTTTCAACACCAGTTTGATTGTAGACAGCTTCACGACTGGAGAGAAAATTTCATTGTAGTCAATACATTCTTTTTGCTGAAAACCTTTGACAATCAATCTTGCTTTGTAGTGTTTGCTCTCATCGTGCTCTTCTTTGATCTTGTAAATCCACTTGTTATGGAGCGCTTTCTTGCCTGGTGGTAATTCAGCTAATTCCCACGTCTGATTTGATATAAGCGAGTCCATCTCATCTTTCATGGAAGACTCCCACTTGATTGAATTATCCACCTGCATTGCTTTATCATAGCACTCTGGTTCACCATTGTCAGTCAGCAACAAGTAGTGCAAAGAAGGCGAATAACACTGGTTTGGTTTAGGAATTCTGGAGGAGCGTCTTAGTTCTGGTATGCCTGGTTCTTCATGAACTGCTTCAGGACTGATCTGAACATCATTTCCAAAAATCTCCTCAAACTCAACAAATTCCTTTGTTTCATTTTCAGTATTGGAGCTACTTGATTCTATGGTTGACCTGTCTTTGTACATCACATTCTCATTAAAAATGACATCTCTACTTCTGATGATCTTTCGATTTTCATATTCCCAATACCGATAACTGAACTCACCACCACCATAACCAACAAATATACATTTGTTAGACTTAGCATCAAGTTTGTTTCTTTCATAAGAATTTACATGTACATAAGAAATAAAATTAAACACTTTTAAGTGTGAAATGTTTATTTCTTTCTTGCTCCAAACTTCATCTGGTACTCCACTATCCAAAGGAACTGAGGGCCCATGGATAATCAGGTAAGCTGCAGTGTTGATAGCTTCAGCCCATAGCAATTTGGGCAAGCCAACATGTATCCTCATGCTTCTGGCACGTTCATTCATAGTTTTGTTCATGCGCTCTGCTACACCATTCTGTTGCGGTGTCATGGAAACTATTATCTCCATCTTGATCCCATTGTTTGCGCAAAATTTTCTGAATCTATTGTTTCTATACTCTCCTCCATTATCAGACCTCAACCATTTGACTTTCAAACCAGTTCTGAAGGTATCAAAGACTTCTGATTTCTTCTTTAGAAAATAAACCCACACATTCCTTGTAGAATCATCAATGAAGGTGACATAATATAATGAGCCTGCAAGAGATGGAACTGGAGATGGTCCCCATACATCAGTATGAACCAACTCTAACTTTTCAGCCTTGGGTGTCTTGTCAATCTTTGCAAAACTAACTTTCTTTTGTTTGCCAAAGATGCAATCTTCACATAGTCCGACATCTATATTCTTTAGATCCGGCAGCTTTTCTTTTGACAAAAGTGTCTTCATCCCTTTCTCGCTCATATGGCCAAGCCTTTGGTGTCATAGGTTTGATTTTTCATCAGCATCTTCTACTGCAATGATATTCTCTAAATTTGAGGTTACATAGAGAGTATCAGTCTTCTTACCACGAGCAATGAGGATTGCTCCATTGGTAATCTTCCATTCACAACCTGAAAAGGATGTACTATATCCTTCTCCATCAAGCTGTCCTACAGAAATCAAATTTCCTTTGAGGCCAAGAATATGTCTCACTCCTTTCAGCTTCCAAGTGGTCTGGTTTGGCAACTTTAATCGGATGTCTCATTTTCCGACGATCTTCAATGTTTCATCATCAGCTAGATGAACCTTCCCAAAATCACCACTGACATAGTTCTCTATGATTTCTTGGCATGGGGTGGAGTGAAAAGATGCCCCTGAATCCAAGATCCATGATTCAATCGGACTGTTGACGCTTAGAATCATGACATCACCTGCTTCTTCTGTCACACTGGCAGATTCTTGTGCGCCGATATCTTTCTTTGATGCTCGACAATCTCTTTTAAAGTGACCATTCTTGTCGTAATTATAACAATTAAAATTTTTCTTTCATATTCTAAATTTTCCTGTTCTAGATTTCGATCTGCCACGATTTGAATTTCTTTATGAAGTTCTCCCTCTAGACTTCGTGTGCAAGGTTGAGGAGCTTGATGCTTCACCTGATTCTCTCCGTCGAATTTCTTCACTCAATACCAGATCCAGAACATCGTCGAATTTCAATTTACTATTTCCCGACGAGCTGTTGACTGCTGTAACAGTAGCATTCCAACTGTCTGGTAGAGATGATAAGAGAATTAAAGCTCGAACTTCATCATCAAATTCAATTTCCACGGAACTCAACTGGGTTGTGATTGTGTTGAGTTCATTTAGGTGTTGAGCCACTGATGCCCCTTCCCCCATCCGCAAATTGAATAATCACCTCATCAAGTGAACTTTATTCGAGGCCGATGGCTTCTCATACATACTGGAGAGAGCCGCCATTTCGGGAAAACGTCAGTCGGATAACTCCGAGGGCTTGTCTGTCGAGAAGAGCCTAGTCTTCATTCTTCATGCCCTCTGGTTGCTTTCCTGAGGGAGGTTGATATAGATTTTTCTGGTACAGAAAATCTTTAATATGCATCTTCCAAAAGCCAAAGTCCGCACCATCGAACTTCTCAATTTTCACATTTTCTTCGTTTGCAGCCATCGCTCCTACTCGAATCTGGCTTCGTTTGGATCGTTTCTGACAATTCTTGCGAACCACCGTGTATTAG